GGATCGTCGAATCTCGCTGAGGATAGGGGCTATGAGTAACTTTCCGATGGTAAAAAAGCCTCGAGCAAAGTTATTTGCTGCATCCTCGTAGCCAGTGATCAGGCGATCTGGGTGGTAAAGTTTTCTCCACGGACCGACGCGAATTTCATCTGCACGCAAACCACAGAAAAAGTAAGAATCATCGAGACACAAATCCAAATGGCATTATAATAGGCTGATTCACCGAATAACAGGTATACTCTGGGACAGAAGTTGGAAACAAACTTCATAATGAAGAACGGAAACCACGAGGATTTAAGCCTAGTGTAGTGTTGATAGATACGTAAAGAAAAGGTTATACAGTGTCGTTCTACATGAGATACATTGGTCAACCCTTACAAACCCATCCCTGAAGAAGGGATTTTATCAGGATACAGTTTACCACCTTGTTTCCCATCTCTCGTGGTAAAAGGGAGGCGCATTTTCCCAATCCAGAGAGCAAATACATTCAAGGAAGAAATGGTTTTGATCATCAGAAGGGAGACACATTGTGCTAAAATATCCGGTCTGAACAGTCGTGTTGTCGTTCATGAACTTTACTCCAAGCGATCACATTACTCACCCTATCTCATCGATCTTAGATTAACAAACTGAGATTAACAAAACCATTTCGCTGAAGCGATTCGCAGATTCTGCCACTGACATTTTTATTGATAACCGATGATTTGAAGAATAAACCACAAGTGAGAAAGCAAATGATTCAGTTCCAGAAGGCAGAAATTCAAAAAACCTCATTTGAAATCCAAAAGTATAACCATTAATAATAATGTGGAAAGCAATTTGAAATAAAGCTATCTAATCCCATCAACTACAGTAAATAATCCCCCTTACCGTCTACCATTTTTGCTTGTTTCGCGTGCATAATTCACTGGACGAACTTGTCCGGATTAGAGCACGAACCGGCTCCACCGGCCGATCCTAATAATTCCACTATGACCACCGCGCTTACTTTTGTGAAACTGGCTTGTAAGGATCAGAAACTATTCAGAGAAAGATTGGAAGGAAAGAGGTCGAAACAGCACCCTGGCTACTGCCTAACATCAATCTGATACTAGGACCATTTGATAACGTAACCTGAGGAGACTTCCGCCAGGGGGCACTTTTATTTGCACGGTCATTTGAGTAGCGAAACAATTTTTATGGTATTGCAGAACAGGCAATTCAATTTTGAAGAATAAACCACAAGTGAGAAAGCAGATTGTTCAGCTCCAGAAGGCAAAAATTCAAAAATCTTATTTGAAATCCAAAAGTCTAACTGTTAATAATAATGTGGGAAACGATTTGAGATAAAGCTATCTAATCCCATCAATTACAGTAAATAAGC